CGGAAAAGGCATTGGCTTGAAGGACACGCAGCCCAAAGAGGCCCTACACCGGACGTTTTCAACATCTTCGTGACGTCAGCTTTATCTTCTTGGAGAACGCTGTAAGGAGCGAAAGATATATGAATGTCGGTATGGCTTGCCGAGGCTACGGAGCGTCGTCTACCACGCAGTGCTGTCTGGCACAGGCCATAGGACGCTTCCCGAAAGTAGCGTTGCCCAAGGGATCACTCGGAGAGTCTTGGAATCTCATCTGCACTGCGCCGTCACTTCGGACCTGCCAGACAAAGGAAATCAAGAGCACCGCTCATGTTCTGACCGAGGAAATTCCCCAAAGTCCTCACATGTTCTAGATGACTGGCGTGTCCGCAAAGGGGCGGCGTCGATGCGTCGAGGGTATCCTGCTTATTTCAAGTCTCTACTGCTCTGTACGACGGGGCCTTGAAGCAGCTTTGGTGACGGCGACTGTGTGTCTTTGAGTGTGCTCGTTAAAGGGTGTAGGACGGAGCGTGACGGTTCGAGAACTGCCGCAATCTCATCGTTAGTGACCCTGGGGCCCCAGGCACTACCCCAGAAGGTCGAAGAAAAACTGAAAGCGTTTGTTAGTTTGGAGGGGTTGCCAGTTGGGAGTAATTCCTGTCCGTTCGTGTATGTGCTCTTCCTAAAATCTTCCCCACGCCCTAGGGAACTGAAGAACGCGGACTGCTTGTAAGGAACAATTTTGTGAAATGGCTCGTGCTCTCTGATAATAATCTAGCACAACAGTGCTTTTTTTTCAACAACCTTGCCCCCGAGATTCCGTCTGCAGTCCCGTACCGGTGCCTGACCCCGTCCGACCTCCACGGTGGGGCCAACCACTTGGTGCCAAGAACATTGAGGAATATTTGAACAACTGCCCCCGGTGTGCTACGGTATTCAATCACCCGATTAGTGACTTCTTCCAAAAACGGCAGTGAAGCGGAAACTTTCACAAAACAAATCCGATTCTGAAGCTGCCTAGCATTCGCTCGATGGACATTAGACGGCATGTGCAAGCGCTGAGGAACATCAATGTGAGTCTTCATGCTAGCGATAACGGCGGGCCAATTGTCAACTTTCGGAACGAGGAACACAAAGCCTGTCCTACTGAGTTTAAGACAGAAGTACCACCGATGTAGCTCGGACAGCCTTCGCCAGTACACCCTGTTCTGATATCTTCCCGTGACCAACTATGGCGATAATTCAAGGACCTTCAGGTCCGACTGGTACACCAGCTTTCCGTGGTTGGAGTACAGTGTGTCTTCGAACTCTGCGTTTTGTTTCTCCTGTCAGATGTTTTCTACTAGTAACGGACAGAACAGTGGAAATACTGTATATTCGCGGAGGGTTATCGAAACTGGAAGAAGCTCTTCAATAGAAAGGCGGACTAGGACACCACTCCAAGGGCGCGGCAAACAAGACGTCCGAAGTATCGGCTTCCTTCAAGCAGGGGAAGAAAAGTGGTCCGGATTATTCAGTCGACGTACAACTCAGCCAGGCGTATTCAGCAAAAAGTAAGGGAGAAACGTCACGGCATCTCTGTGATCGCTGATGTGCTCTTGTTTAATGCAGTGCAAGAACTGCCTAAAAAGCAGATGATGACGCGTCAGTGACGTCAGGCTTCCGATGCTCCCCATCATCACAGACGAATAGACCCTTTACGAAATTCAGTGCCATTTGGTGGTTCATAAAGCAGTTAAGGTTTTGCCATATCAATGGCGGAAATAGACTTGTATCGGCACCGTCACGTTTGCAAGTCAACGGCACGCGAGGATTCGTTCAGTGTGAGTTCTTTATCGATCACTTTCAATTCGATGGTGACCAAGAACCTGCGTTCAGAACAAAGCTCCAGCCCACTCAGATGCCTCAAGAAAATTGTATACGCCAAAGTGCTTTAAAGCCGATTGAGTGCTGCCCACAGATTGACTGAATCTGAATTATTAGAAATAAACGCTTACGTAGCTCTTGTGCTCCATTCCTATGTCGCGTCATACTGATTCCCGAATGTAGAGGCACTTATCATCCGCTTAGGAGCTTCTTCAGCGTCTTCTTTTATCAGTCACTAGAAGGTCGCCATTGGTATGGCACAGATGCCGTTCCACAGATGATGATAGTGATCAAAGTGGCCAGACTGAATTTCGGAAAGGGTCTATTCGCCTCTACCGAACGTCGGTTCACGACTAGCGTGAATGCACTTATTTAATATTGCGGTATGTAAATATGCCTCAATACTTTGCATGACAAATGTCACATAAACCAGAATTGTAGACGCATCGTAAAATAATAAAATAGACGAACGATTGGGGAAATTTTAAACAAAGAGAAAAAATTGGGAAAAAATAAAATATGGCAGCGGCCTTTATTTCTAAAGTACACAGATACATGAAATGTAGTATTCGAAAATCTATCGTTAAAGGTTGCACATAAGACATTAAACAGGCATTTTGGGGGACATATTAAAAACTCGCAAGCGATTTCGGGCCCGCAGTCGATATTGCCGAGAGTGAGTAGGGCTCTACCAAGTCATCATCGCTGAAGATTTCTTCTCTCAGGCTTAATTCTGACGGTCAGCGAATCGGAAGCCCATATCTCCCCAAAAATTTCCTGCACTTCCCCAGTGTCACCTCGCTATGAAAAGCGCGGCGCCGTCCCTGCTCGAGGGCAAGAAATAACAAAAAGTAGTATAAATACTACTAAAGTAGTATAAATACTAATAAAAATATACACGACGAAAAACTAAGGAGATAAACCTAGAAAAGCATCCAAAGACAAGAATGCATGTTAAAAATGAAGAATGACGGACGAACGCATATACCTCAAACTGAAATTTAATATTTAGCTAATTAACACATTGCACAACACTTGTGACCAAGGAAACTCACCAGGCATAAATCAAACTGCACGTAAACTTTGGAATATTCGCGCAATGCAAGAAGACTAATGAGGGTTGTAAAACTAATGCTCGTGATGACAATGTTCTACTGATACTATAGCGAGAAGACCCCTATTTCGAAGCAGTTTCTCTCATTCCTACTGCTATCTTAGTATGAGGGTTCAGAGGGCGCCGCGGCACCGTTTCTTTTTAGGCGCACTTCTTCTTGCGCCGCAAGCAGCTGGTCTGGAAGCGGGCCACGGGTTGGGCTTCATTGGAAAGACCGCGGCCGGTCGCGGGCAGTATCTGCCCCGCGAGTCGGGGTGTGGAGGACCCTGCTCTACAGCGTAGTTTATTTAATGATTCCATACTTGTTTCCACCTCAAGAACCGTGATAAAAAAAAAAAGTCCGACTCCTCGCGGGGCATTTCTAATTTGCCCTTTTGTGTAGAGCATTAAGTTGCATGTAAGTTCATTACAGATTAGGTATATGTTATCGTATCAAAACGTACTCGTTTCAAACGCTCGAAGTATCGCTGCTTCCTCCAACAACCAAATCGTGTAACAACTACTTCGCGCCGCGTGCGAACAATGCGCAAAACATCTTTTTTTTATCTTGATGTGAAAACAAGTAAAGCTTTTTTACGACGTTCCATAATTGGCCAGGAACTCACATCACGTCATTTCTGTTCTGCTTTCATCGATGGCGGTCAGACAACATCGTGACGCTAACTTGGACGGCGGTCTGTTGAGCCGGCACAATGGCAGCTAAATATTCAAAGCCCGCGCGTTAGCACTTAGACGTCGTCAAAGTAAGGTCGAGCGCAGACGCTGATTGGTCACGAGCGCTGTGTCAGAGTTCGGCTGGACCTCGCGTCCAATCAACGCTTCCAAAGACGCGCGTCGTTGGGCTCGGGCCCAGTTGCTATTTTGGCGCCAGGGCGCCATACCAAACAGTACGACTAGGATCCAAATATAGTACGACAATTAGGGTAAAACAAGGAGTACCGCAAGGTGCAGTTCTGGGCCCTCTACTGTTTAATTTATATACCCGAAGGAAAAATCCATCAATCTAACCCTGTTTGGCAGTCAATGTTTTCTAGTGGACCGCTGACTGTGCCTGACTGTACGTCAAGCATGTCTGATTGGCCAACAAGTTACTCTGACCGACAGTCAAACTCCAGTCAGACTTTACTTGTCGGCTCTCTGATGGTTTCCTGGTGGCAGTCGGCCGCCGCGAAATGCCATCAAGATGTCTTGGTGGCGATTCTGATTGTACATCGATTGTCTCTGACTGTACGTCAAAAAGCTTTGACGTGCAGATAGACGTACGGTCAAAGGACGTAAAGTTCGTTCAGATACCACTATTTCGTCAAATCTATGAATACGAAAAATAATCTATGCACAAGAAAACGATTTCGGGACGTGAGCCCATAAAACCGCTGATGTTAGAGATATTACACGCAGCCGACCGACAACCTTGATCAGAAGCCCGACTAAACGCCGAACACACCACTTCGCTTCGCCCATAGAGGCTTCGCCGAGCTTTCAAGAACGATCGCTCTCGACTCGTTTTGTTTGCCCGCTTGCTCCAACCTGACGATCCTGCCCGGGCTCTACAATGTCTTATGTTTTAGTATATTTTCTGCTCGACAAGACCCAGCCTGTTGTGAGTTCCGACGATGTAAGGGACTTTAGCGGTGTAGTTGTGCTACGACGCGTCCGAACGGAGACATGCTTGGTTGTGAACAACGTTTATTGTCAGGGACGTGATAATATAGGCAGCCGATGCTTCGGGCGCAAAACAGAAAGGGTGGTGATAAGAATGATAAGTACATTGGAGGATGATACAAAGTTTCCAAGAGTCATGACACAGCTCTGATACAGCATTCCTTCCCCCTAGGGGCTATAGCGATCTACAGGCTTCCTTTTTCTGGTTGACCTTCGCAACTCTGGCGGCTGGGTGGTGCTGATGGTTGGTTCTGCAGGTGTTGTATCTTGTACTGCATCTTGTCGAGCGCCTTGCGTTGTCTTTGCCGCTGTCCCTGGTACTTTGAGTGCCAGCGGCTCTCGAAAACGGATCTGGTCAATGTGACGTCGGACTTATCCCGACGGTGTGTCCACTGAGACCATCCTTGCTCCGGTCGTTGTAGTTACCGTCCCTGGCAACCACCTTTCTCCTTCTCCGAAGTTCCGGGCCCAAACTGGATCTCCGGGCCACAGCTTGCTACGGGGTTCCTGCAAAGGCACCAATGAAGCACCAGGATACGGCAGGCAGGCGTCTAGACGAGATCTGATCTGGTAGCCTAGCAGTCGTTGTGATGGCGAAGAACCGTCAGCCAAAGGAGTTCGGCGGTACGCGAATAATATTTTAGCCAAACGCGTAGCAAGGTTACCATGCGTGACCTTTTTTAGACCATCCTTAATCGTCCTGACTGCTCTTTCTGCTAGCCCGTTGGACTGAGGGTGGTATGGAGCAGTGCGTAGATGTTCTACGTTATTTCCCGCGAGGAATCGAGAGAACGATTCTGCCGTAAATTGAATCCCGTTGTCTGTCACGATAGTCTTCGGTATCTCAAAATGGCTGAACATTTCGCGCACAGCTGCTATTGTAGAATCGGCAGTCGAATTCTTCATGGCCACCGCCTCTATCCACTTTGAGTGAGAGTCCACTGCAATTAATATCATGGCGTCCGACACCGGTCCCGCGAAATCCAGGTGTAATCGCGACCACTTTTCTCCCGTCTCCGGCCACTTCACCGGAACATATGATGGCGGCATCGGCCGTGCCTGGATACACGCACTGCAACTCCGGGAAAGATGTTCAATCTCACCATCGAGCCCTGGCCACCAAAGAAGTGTCCGCGCGACCGCCTTCATCGCCGGTGCTCCTTGATGGGTCTCGTGCAGCATTTTTAGCATCGCTCCACGTGCTGTCTGTGGCACGACGACCCGGTGCCCCCAGTAGAGCAAACCCTGGGCTACGGTGAGTTCCAACTTCCTGTGAAAGAAGGGTTGCATTTGTGGGTCGTCATCCTCTAGGGGCTTTGCCCATCCGTGCAGCACATAGTCTTTCACCCTGGACAGTAGCCGGTCCTCCGAGGTTAGTGACCGCAATCGTTGTGCCGACAGAATAGTATCATCGAGTTGGTTAACTGAAAGCACATATTCTGGCAGCTCGTCCGTCTCCTTGTCAGGAACATTTATCGGTAAACGACTCAGTGCATCAGCGTTGTGGCTCTGGGGCCCCGGCTTGTATTCTATCTTGTACTGATATGCCCCTAGCAGTAACGCCCAGCGCTGAATTCTGGCCGCCGCCATGACAGGTGTAGGTCTGTCCTCCCTCAGCAACCCTACCAAGGGCTTGTGGTCGGTAACGAGCGTGAAGTCCCGCCCCAACAGATAATCTCTAAATTTGGTTACCCCAAACACTAGGGCTAATGCTTCACGCCCAAGTTGCGAATAATTTCTTTCCGCCTTCGATAGCGTCCGGGACCTGAATCCTATTGGTCTGTCCACGTGTCCGAAACTATGGGACAACACAGCCCCTACCCCATAAGGCGATGCGTCACACTCGAGACGTAAAACTTTGGATGGGTCAAAATGCGTAAGAACATCTGCCGTACATAACACCCGCTTGGCCTTTCTGAAAGCATGCTCCTCTGCTTGGTCCCATTTCCAGCGTTGATTCTTCGCTAGAAGGTTGTACAGTGGCGCCAAGAGGGTAGCCATGTTGGGCAGAAACTTGCTGTAGTAGGTCAAAAGTCCTATGAAAGAGCGGAGTTCACTTACGTTCTTCGGGCTCCTTGCTTCCATTATAGCCGCCAGGTTCTTTTCCGTAGGGTGTAGGCCGTCCTTGTTGATGCGGTGCCCGAGATAGCAGACTTCGTCCTGCCAGAAGTTACACTTCCCTCTGTGCAGCTTGACTCCGTTCTCCTTGAAACGCTGCAGCACCTGCTTGAGCACGCTCCTGTCTTCCTTTCTTCTCTCCGAGACAATGACGTCATCGAGATACGCTTGTACGCCGTGTATTCCTCGCAGCAGGCTCTCCATCTTGCGCTGGAAGATAGCGGGTGCGGAAGAAATACCGAATGGCAGCCGGATGAAACAGAAGAGACCACGGTGCGTGTTGATGACGGTTAACTTCTTGGATTCGTCATCGAGTGGCACTTGATTGTACGCATCTCGAAGGTCCAACGTACTGTACCTGTCGCCCCCATTGAGTGCCGCGAACAGGTCGTCGATTACGGGGAGTGGATATTGCTCGGTGCAGCAGGCTGAGTTCACGGTCAACTTAAGATCGCCGCAAATTCTTATGGTCCCATCCTTTTTTAGGACAGGGACAATTGGTGTTGCCCAGTCCGCGTGAGGAACCGCAGAGATAACACCGTTTTTGACAAGTCTGTCCAGTTCATTAGACACTTTGTCACGCATGGCGTATGGCAGAGGCCTGGCCTTGAAAAACTTGGGTGCAGTTCCTTCTTTCACATATAGATGCGCTGGCGGGCCTTTGAGCAAACCCAGTCCGTCACTGAACAACTCCTCGTATTCTGACAGTAGTTCTTTCAGCTCGACGTCCTGCGCGGTTTCGGTTGCCGCCGTTAACTTCAAAACAGGTGTTCCAAGACAGTTCAACTTTTGTATTAAGTCGCGTCCACATAAACTTGGACCTGCGCAGTCTAGGATTGTCAGTGTCGCCGTCACCTCTTGGTCACAATACTTGACGGCAAGCGTAAGCTTACCAGCCACCGGCAGCTTCCCCAGGTAGCATGACAACTTCAGTCTCGAACGTTCCATCTTTGGCCAGCCATGGCAGTGCCTGTCATATACGTCCCTTGAGATTACGCAGACCGGCGAACCTGTATCCACCTCCATGACGATGTCGGCGCCACCCCAACAAAATTTCCTGCGCACAGGTGCAACCAACTGTTCGTCTGTTGAGAGATACGACTTCAAGGTCAACAGCTGCAGTGACATGTCGCTCTCATCGCTGCTGGCTTCGTTTCCGTGTATCGCACAAGCTTTGGCTTGTTTCTTGGTTTCCGTGCGACACATTCGGGCTGCATGACCTTTCTTTCCACACTGGAAGCACTTCATGTTCATGAACCGGCATGTTTCTGTTCCGTGCGCTGCGTTCCCGCATCTTCTGCACAAGTTAGCCTGCACGCGAGAACCTTTATCTGTTTTCCTGAAGTTGAATCTTCGCATTTGTTCGGTGAGCGCGTTCAAGGCTGGGGCTGGTTCCTCGGCCGGCTCCGATTGCTTAATTTCTTGCGCGCCTTGCGTGGCTGCTTCAGCGGCTCGCACGATTCTTTCAGTTTCTTGCAATGTCAGCTTCGGCTGTGCCAGCAGCAGCTTCTGAACATCCGTATCTCGAATGCCGCACACAATTCTGTCTCGAATCATCCGGTCTAGTATGTTTCCAAAATTACATTTGTCAGCTTTGCGTCGGAGTTGCACGATAAACTCTTGCGCCGACTCTCCCTCTTTCTGGGTCCGGTGATAAAACTTGAAACTTTCTGCTATTTCGTTTGGTGGTGGCGCGTAGAAATCTTCTAGAGTTGTCACGACCTCTTTATAGGTTAATTCGCTCACCTTCCTTGGAGCACATCGGCCACTCAGTACTTCAATTGTTCTTGACCCGAGGGCGGACACCAGCAGGGCTCTTTTCTTGGCGTCCTCCTTGATTTCGTTTCCTTCGAAGTACGATTCAATCCGGATGGTGTACGAGGCCCACTTGTCTTTCCCATCGTCGAACTGCGGCACTTGATACGCCATGCTTTACCCTGGGTGGCAATACGCCACTACCCGCGTTGATTCGTTCTCGTCGCCACTGCTACGACGCGTCCGAACGGAGACATGCTTGGTTGTGAACAACGTTTATTGTCAGGGACGTGATAATATAGGCAGCCGATGCTTCGGGCGCAAAACAGAAAAGGTGGTGATAAGAATGATAAGTACATTTTTAGGATGATACAAAGTTTCCAAGAGTCATGACACAGCTCTGATACAGCAAGTTGAAGACGAAAATTTGTACCAGGTCTACTGGGCCGGAGACGCGCGAACAAAAGGATCGATCTACGATGCGAAAGTACTCTACATGGCAGGTGAGTAAAACTGAAGTACGGCGAGTGATGTACGAGTGCTTTGCCTAACATGCTGAAGGCTTAACTGCATTTGCAGCCGAAGCATCTCGTATAAAACGAATGCTCAAATCGAGTTTCCAAAGCGATGGCATAGCATAGGGCGATAAAGAGAAAAATAATGGCATAGCATAGGGGTTAAGGTGTCCAATTTGTACGCCAGTGGTCGCGGGTTCGGTCCGCGGTGGTCCTGCTTTTTTTTTTTTTTCTCGACCATTTTGTTTTATTGGTGCCTTTGGCGATATTTATGAGTGCGTATAGCTTTACTCTTATATAAATGCTGCCCTTGTTGATGAAATTCCCTTGGCAGTGGCAGTCAGACGTCATCTGATGGCCCATCAGATGACGTGTGATGGTCCATCACGTTCCTCCAAGGCTGCTGACTGGCACTCAGTGTCCCAAATTACGTATCTTGATGGAATTTTCAATAGGGTATCAATGAAATTGCGCAAGTAAAACTAACAAGGAAATTATTTCAGTTCGCAGATGGTACAGTAATTGTGTACGCCCCCAAAAATGATGAAGTCGCCGGTGGAGATGTACAAGAAGACATTCACAATATTTTTCAATGGTACAGTAGAAATCAGATTATCGTAAATACTTCAAAACCTCAAATAATGTGCTTTAGAGACCCTAGAAAAATACTATTTGCTGAATTACCCATTAAAATGCACGATAAAAATTGTAAACTGTTCATGCCCAGCAAATAAATACGTAAAAAATGTAAAATACCTTGGAATGTACATAGACCAAGATCTTAAATGGGACTCTCACATAGAGCAAGTTTGCAAAAAATTAAGGACGCTGATGGCCTATATGTTTCACATTCAAGATATGGTCCCCCATTTTGTACTTAAAATGATTTATAACTCATTAGAAAATCTGTAATACAATATGGAATAACTGTTTATGGTAACTGTGCCAAATACCTACAAAAAAGTTAAAACTCTCCAAAAACAGATATTCAGAAGAATGGGTTGCCAAATAAAAAAAAGAAACAATTTAATAGATGATATACATAAAGAAATAGGCGTATTTTACTTTAGTGATCAATTGAAATATGACATAATTACAAAACTTTTTTTAATCCATTATTACAAAATAGAAATTGTTAAAGAAAGAACATTACGACCAAATAGAAAATATTTTGAACCATTAATAAAGACAAAGTATGGAAAGGTAAAAGAAAATATTATGTGCCTATAATTTTTAAGCATAATGATTAAAAAGCGCGACAGGACAATGGACACAGAAAGGAGACACAGACACAGCTCTTAAACCAAATACCTAAGGAGCTGATTGAGTGCAAATATCCACATGCTATGAAAAAATGGCAAGAATATGGATCAATGAACGGAAAAATCTAAAAAAAATGGGAATTAGTAAAAAGTATCAACTTACGACCGTAACCACTGTATGAATTATATTGATCATTAAAACAACGATTTGAGATATATTATTAAATAGCAGTATGTACCTAATAGACGCCCGTTCCACCGGTTACAGTGCACGTGTGCATAAACCGCTTCTTTTCTTATAATTTGTTTGTTTGATTAAACTCATAGAAAGAGTTAAAACTGTACAAAATCAGGTTGTTAGTCACCTGCCGCGTCCCACACACAAGCCTTCTTCACTTACGTGGGTACAGGGCAAAATGTATTCAAAAAAGAAAATAAATTGTATCGTATTATTGTATTGTGAGTGTGCCCACGTTCCATGGAAGCTTGAGGAGTTTTCGAGGAGGTTAGAAGAGGTTGTTCACGGGCTTCGATTCTGCTTGGCCATGTTCGTTGAGCACACGATAACTACACGCTTTCACCGAGCTCATTGCGTACATAATCAAACTTATTGTTTGCAACGAATAAACGAGCACGTGACGTCACGAGTGTGTTTTGGGAGTCTTCCTTCCATTACGGCTGCTCTTTAATTCTTTGTGAAATTAAACCACCTCACAGTGTGGTATTCCTAGGCAGGAGGGAAACCCCGTCAGCATTTGGAGGGACGTACAGCACTTGAAAGCGAAATACATGGAAAGTATATAACAAGTCAGAAAAATTAGATGGATTAAGAATTATTCATCTTCGTGGCGACGCAGAATATTCAAAGTCAAATAAGAAAAAAAGCTTGTAACTTTTTACATATAGAAGAAAGAAAAACAAAATGACAGTCAAGCGCAACCCGAAACTTACAATCGCGCAAGAAAGGCAGAAAAAAAAAAAGAAAAAGGCTCGAAATGCAGCTTTAACTAAATTTAATCCACTTCGGGGATTCGGAAAATCGAGATGGTGCAAAATTATGTTTCTCGCAATGTTTCATTTTTTTTTTTAATTCCTTTTCCCTTTCTTTTGGCAAGCCAGTTTCCACAATCTTAGCGCACCTTTCACGCTAATGCCGGCTGACAAAAATTTTGTTCCAACCCACAATCAAAAAAAAGGACAGAAATATTGTTTAATATGCACAAAAAACTATTATGTATAAAATTAGGACTTCGCTCCACTTTTCACGGCAAGTCCGCTCAACCGGAAGCAACTCAATTTTTCAAATGTAATACTTTCTAGTTTTTTTTTCTTCCTTTCTGGCGATGAGGCCAAGAGACTTTAAAGCAGCGTCCGCTGTTTTTTCGAAGTCTAAATCTGCATATTCGTGCTCCACGCTCTCGTTGTTTCTCTCTTGACGGACGAAAGCTGCCAACGAGCGAGAGCAAAAATTGAAAGGTCAGCCTCTCGCTCTGCCGCTTCCGGTATCCTGTTGGCACTACCTTTTTTTTCTTTTTTTCTTTTTCTTTTTTAAGAATTTACTTCATGCGTTGACCACCAAATATACGTCCGCTCTTCAATCTCACGTTTTATAAAAAAAAAAAATCTACACGTATTGCAAAAATAAATTATGCGTCGCCGAACGTTCATTCTCCGTTGAAATCTAGCGCTAGCGGTTCGAACCACAAGACAAACCT